AATCCTTTCAAACATTCTTCGTCTTTAACCCTCCTCCTTTTTATTTGCATGTTACTCTCTAGCAATACCAAAACCTCTAATTTGCAGCACCTGTTTATTTTGCAAATGTTGTAAATAGAAAAAAAAAATCTTACAAAAATGTGTCACTGATGGTGATATTGAAAGGGTAAATGAGAAAGTAGTTAATGCTGACAACATTGTTTTCACAAAACTTCTCTGTTTTGGTATCTTGTTTTTTCTTGATTGTTTGCTTATGTGTTTATTTATTTGCTTGTTTAATTGTTTATGTATTTGTTTGTTTTGTTTTATTTTTGTTTGTTTTGTTGTTGTTTTTTAAATTTTCCTTCTCTCTCATTTTTTGCTGAAATCATTATAATGGTTCGTTGCTGAATTCGTTGGCTTTGTCGAAGTAAAGAAATTAGTGTCATCAATTTCGAGTTGAGAAGCTACAACTTTAAAAGAAAAAAAAGAATCCAACTTTTTCCCACTTACTTAAAACAGCGATATAATAAATTCTTATGGGATCGTTACGAAGTGTGACCGTGGGCGGATGGAGGATGGGGCTGGTAGGTCTTACTTCAGTTCTTTCCCTCTTTTGTTTCTCTCTATCTATCTTTCTTTATACTATACCCTTCACTAAATTGAATGACCGTTATAATTGTGTTTCATAATATGCTTCTCTTTACCCTCCCCCTCCCCCTCCCCCCCTGAAAAAACACCAAACAAACAAAACAAAGCAAACAAACAACAACAAATTGACTTCGAAATCTTTATTAATGCCATATCTTCACAGGTTGTTTACTTCACCGCAACGTTCCCTTATGTGCTCCTCACAATCTTGCTGGTCCGGTCCGCCATGTTGGATGGTGCCTACGAGGGAGTTATCTACTACCTGACTCCACGCTGGGAGCGTTTGGCCGATGCCTCGGTGAGGAACACATTATTTAATTATTGGTGTCCTGTTTTAAGACGCTGCTGATATATCTGGTCGCTCACTGATAGAAACAAATGAGGAAAAGACAAATGCGTTTTGGACACATTGATAGACATAATATAATATATCTTTAACATCTAACTCTCACCTGTAAAATGGAAGGGAAACAAGGCTGGGTTAGACCTGAAGAAACCTAATTGAAGAACCTAAACAGATGGGTAACGGTAAAAGATCGGGGTAATTTTATCTTTTTTAAGAGAATCCAAGCAAAGGAAGTAATGGAGAACAATAATCGCCGATGTCTGTAGCAGATAATATGGCTCTTGATGATGATGTTTCAGGGAATGTTACCGCCAGGGGCGGCTGGTTATCTGAATCAGACCGACGGAGACATTTTTTTGTATGGACAGTGGACAAGAAATATATTGATAGCAATGATAATGTTCATTCAGTTTCAAGGAAATGCAAAATCATAATTATAGATATTTAAAAAGAACGTTTCTGATTGGAAGACGCTCTAAGAGGCGATAGGGGCTCGGTTCTGTTTTATCACTCTACAAAGACTCTTTCGTCAGCACCTCCTGTGACGATGTGCAACTTCGCGTCGAGCGATTCATGTTCACGTCAAGCTCGTTGGTGAATCATCCAGGTACCTTATGTGTGAAAAGAGGAGTCTATGAAAAACTCTAGATGTCAATTTTCCTTTTCTGTTGCTAAAAAAGATCAAGACTGATTCGGGAGATGCATAGTAATATTTTATAAGAAATATTTTTATTAAAGTGTCTTTAATTATGGCTGCGCCGGGGAACAGCTGATGCTGATATTGTTACCGGGGATCAACGAGCGTGGAATAGAAACAAGTACCGTATTTTGTTATATTTCTTTGTTACAGTTATTTTGTCTCCATATTCAATAACCACAGCTCTATCTAATCACCCTAAAGTTCAGTATTTTTTCAGGTTTTTAAAGACAATTTCAAGCCTATGATTTCTACATTAAAATATACACATTTTTTGTCCCCCACCATTTTCCCGCATTTAGAGATGCCCAATGCACTTGGTGACGTTGGTATGACATAATCTCCAGATTCGAAATTGACATTTAGAAAACAGAAAAGCATAGTTTCCTAAGGTTTAAATATGGTAACAAACCAGGTTCGCCACTAGTCGTGTTGCTTAATTTGATAATGATATGCTGATTTAGGTTTTTTTAGCTGCGATAAGAATGTTTAGAATACTGCACGCAGGCAAAGTTTAATTTGAATAGGCAGCAAACTTTAAAAGGATTGTATGCCCCAGCTCGCGTATCTTAAATCTGATTTAGATCACTCACTATTGAGTCTATTTTAATACACGTAAACATAAAAATCACATTCAAAATAATAACACACTGATACACAAACTCATATTCACCGACATAATAATGCATGATATGTACGTATTAAATAAATGTACAAACGTTGACATATTATGTCTGTGAGAATGTGCTTCTTTTTATCAGTTTTAGCTGTATATCTTCGACTGACGCAAAACAAATTGTATTATAGATGCTTTGGCATGATTACTG